CCCTGTTAGCTTTTTTATCACATTCTCTTGTTTTAAGATCCTTCAACATGGATTTTGTAGGAGCGTATTTAAAACTTTTCCAAAATGCCATACCTCCTTTGCTTTGCCTTCAGATAGTCCTTTTTTAAAAAAAAAAAAAAATTGTATTATTTTTAATAATTTTTTTCTGTATATTAGTGTTTTGCCTGCTTGTATGCAAATGTATCCTTGTCTTGCAATGCCTGTGGAGGCCAGAAGAAGGCATCGGATCCCCTGGAACTAAAGTTATGGACAGTTGTTAGCTGTAGCGTTGGTGCCGGGAACCGAACCCAGGTCCTCTGCAAGAGCAGCCATTGCTCTTAACCACTAAGCCATCTCTCCAGCCCCTAAACTCAGTTGTCTTGTCCCTTGGTAAACTGGGGAAGCATAGTATTTGTGGGACCTCCATTCTGCAGTGGCATGCAATACCTTTATTATATCTGATGATGGTCAATAGAGCCTAAAAACTACTATAACCCAGTATAGGTATCAAGATTTTTCTTATGCCTCTGTTTTAAGTGCTTCCTAATACTGCACATTTATTCCCAAGGCATCGTAGTCCCTGTCCCCCCACCCCCAACGCACATACTCTTATTTTCATCATTAAAAACTGTGCTAGTTATTAAAGCTAGAAAGAATTCTAAGTGAAGCCAAAAAGAAATAGGATTAAAACCTAAGCTTTAAATTCATGGTGGGACACATCTCACAGAGGCCTTTGCCTTATTTATGAGTCATCTCACCAATCACTTTTATGCTTTCCAGTTCTTCACAGTTGAAAATTTTCAAAAATCTTTCATTTTACTTTCAATCTTAATTTGTTTTAAACTATAATTCTTGGCAGAGGGTTTTAAGACTAAGGAAAGGAAAACAGTATTATGATTGTTTTGTAGATAAATATAAACATTTTGTTCTCTGACAGTTTCTTTTAAAGTGCTATTTCCTAGTAGTTCTGAATCTACGTTTTCAGATAACTTTTTCATGTGCCTGTATTTTGTGAATGTTTATTTCAATTGTGTGGTACTTTAGAATTGTGTCGGCTTTAGAATTAGGAGTTTAGGGGATTAAAGAGATCTTTCCTATTGTCCTACCAAGAAAATAGCTGTATAAAGCTTTTTTCTGCTTGTGAATTATAAAGGCACACAATTTTGATATGGTATTTTCACAGTTAATGTCTAACTCGATTTGGGCAGCAGTATTAGTAGAGACAGTTAATGTAACTGAACATTGAGGTCTGGTTTTTGTTTTGTTTTTAAATCTTTTGTTTTGAGAAAGATTTGCCCATTTTGCTCACATCCTAGTTTAGCTTCTATTCTCAGAGCCAAATTTTATTTGATTTATTAGCTATTTAGTTGAAATTCACAGCATAGTGGAAAATGTGTACAGATAATTCTTTGCAATAGTAGAAACTTCAGTTGCTTCCTCGTATTTCTTCAGGACAGTGATCACAACCAGATTCAACGTTTGCACAAAGCAGCGGATACCATGGTAGCGGCCGTCGCTGATTGCTTTTACCATGTTGGATCCATTGTCAGTCTCAGAGACCTACTTCCAGCTAGGTGCCTTGAACTCAAATAGCTTTTCACACAGACTTCAGGATGTGAGCTAAGGTATGGCCTTTTTTCATGAGCTGGGCCTACATATGGGTTGACAGTAACCTGCAACTTTAATAGACAAGAGTCTTCTGGCTTTAGTTTGCTGTCAGACAATGAATAGTTAAAATCACTAGTAGGCAGGTAGTATTTGTCCTGTCACCACCTGTCACATATTTGAATACTGTCACCATTTAGAGATTATACTTTTTTTTCTGTAGGTTTTTGATAAGGTGGCTATCCAAGTAAAAAGTGTTTGATAATCTATTTTGGAAGATCTAAAAGGCATCTGTGTTATGATTCAGCCATTATCTTTAATAAGTGCTTTTATGAACTTGGTGTGATTTTTTTTTTTTTTTCAATTTCTGGATTCTTGAACTTTTAAATTTTGGTTAAAAATACATGAAATATACCATTCTATTTATATATACTCTGTTAATGCCTGTTGTTAATCTTTTTAAAATTGCAAATAGCCGGGTGTGGTGGCGCACACCTGTAGTCCCAGCACTTGGGAGGCAGAGGCAGGTGGATCTCTGTGTGAGTTCAAGGCCAGCCTGGTCTACATAATGAGTTCCAGGACAGCTGGGGCTACAGGGAGACCCTGCTTCAAAAAAAAAAATTGCAAACAAAGCCGGGCATGTTGGGGCATGCCTTAATTCCCAGCACTCCAGAGGCAGAGGCAGGTGGATCTCTGTGAGTTTGAGGCCAGCCTGGTCTACATAGCGAATTCCAGGCCAGCTGGGGCTACAGGGAGACTCTTATCTCAAAAAGACCAAAAAAAAAAAAAAAAAAAAAAAAATGCACCTAATAAATTACTATTCATGAGCAGGAGTGGAAATTAAGAATCAGTGGTTTTCTGAGGATAAGCCTGTATGTCAGGGTGGTAAATATAATAAAGCCCTAAATTACATCCATTTGGTTCACTCTCCATGTTGTTGGATGAAACAGTGAACTTTCCTTTTATGTCTACCTTCTTAATTTGGCTTCAAGACAAAGTGAAATCTTTACTACTAAGAGTGTACTAGGTCAGGTGATTGATGATAGGTTTAGGACAGTTCTCTACATTTCATTTTAAATGCAAACTTAAATGTTTCATCAAATAACTTACTGTCTCCTTAGTATACTTTAATGTCCCTAGTAGTTCCCAATTTTTGAAACTCAGTAATGATTATTTAGAATTGGAAAAGTCCTTGTAAATTCAGAGTAGGTATTGTAAAGAACTTTTTTTCCTTTCTTAATTCTCAGTGCTTGGAATTATTAACAACTTCTGATAAATGCAACTGACAACCTATTTTGAACTTTTGTACCAGAATCATTTCTTTCAGAAATGGTCAGTCTCTCTATTAAACTGTAGACTCACTTTTATTTCAAAGTTACAAAAGACAGTGTTTTGGTTGAATCTGGCAGTAAAAGTATCTGGTATTTCAATTTTAAAACATTCACTATGCTGGGCGTGGTGGTGCACGCCTTTAATCCCAGCACTCAGGAGGCAGAGGCAGGCGTATCTCTGTGAGTTGAAGGCCAGCCTGGTCTACATAGTGAGTTCCAGGACAGCTGGGGCTACAGTGAGACCCTGTCTCAAAGAGACCAAAAATAAATAAATAAATAAAGTAAAATAAAATAAATTCACTATAACTCATACACATATAATAAAAATAAATAAAACACAATAAAAAATTTCATTTATTGGGGCTAGAGAGATAACTCAGTGGTTAAGAGCACTGGCTGCTCTTGCAGAGGACCTGGGTTCAATTCTTAGAACCCTCCTGGTAGCTAACAACTGTCCATAACTCCAGTCCAGGAGATCCGAATACCCTCTTCTGGCCTCCATGAAATTGGATGCATGTGGTGCAGTTACATACATGCAAACAAAGCACTCATATATACAATAATAAAAATTTTTAAATTCACTATCCTCTCCTTATATGTAAATATAAATACATGTTTGTATGCATATACATTGAGGTTGATGGGTTATGTGGTATTCAGTACAACATATGTTGAGTTGTTCTCTGGGTGGCAAGGGAATGTAGTCATTTGCTTTCTGTGACTTCTTATATTTGAGAGAGGATAAGGACAATAATCCAATGATGCATTGTGCCTTTTCAGTTAATTCATCTAGCTAGGTGAGATCGTATATACCACTAGGTAGAATATCTGTGGAGTAGTAGTGTCTTTGACTACTACAAATTCAAAGCACAAGCATTAGTACTGTATTCATTTGCTGCTGCTGCCCACCAGGAGTAGCTCTTTAGGCTGTTCCTCACTGTGTACCTGTACTTACGCACTGAATTGCTTTTGAGTGGAAGTTTGTCTTTGTAGTAAAGTCCATTTTTGTATGTAGATTGCATGCTGTTAGAGATTCTTCAACATCCTGCAAATTTTTAATGATAGTCCTCTATGGCTCTATGCCTCCTCTGTAAAAATATTATTTTAATATAATGGTTAAGTATTCTTGTTGGTAGGTATTCATCTAGAAAAATAAGTGCTACATAGTTTTAGATTGTATCTTACGAATGTTTCATAAACCTTTATGCTTTCAGTTTATTTTAAAGCTCCTGTTTACTGAATCAACAAGGATATAAAATTTTTTTAAAAAATCTAAGGTGAATAATATAAAAAGTTGCAGTAGAAGAAAAAATATTGTTTAGTTGTGACTTTTATTGAATCTTTATTGAACTGATACTGTAGTTATTCATTGAAAAATTCAGAGCCCTATACACTGAAACCTTGCTTTGACCCATCCTGTTAATGATAATTTGATACAAGGTTGGGTGTATTTTAGGTCCTGAAAAGAACAGTACTTTTGAAATGATTATATTCTAATGTTTAGGGTCTAATTCAAGGTCTAGTGTATAGCACTGCACATTGTAGTAACCTACACTTTCCTCTGAAATAATAACTTTTTTAACTCTTCAAAATGAACATTTAGTGAAATACAAGTAGTATTAAAAATTCACATGTGGTTTTTGTTTTTAATCTTTTTTTTTTTTTAATTCCAAGGTTGTAGAAGTTAGGAAATAGCTGATTGTCACTTGTAGGAATAGAAGTGATGTCTCTGGGAATTTATAAATAAATCTGTTTTTAGGTGTGGCTCTAAGGATGTATCAAGTATTTGAATTTTTGGCATGGTATTTGTATAATCTTTATTTTTGTCTTTTAACTGTAAGGAAAAAACATGTCCATAATTTTGTTGATTATCCTAGCTATTAGTCTGACTCAAAAGCAGTACTGAGTCTAACTTAGAGCTCCCCTACTTTGCACCATCTATGGCAGATGTAGTACACACTCTCACTGTTGTTTTTAACCAGTTACTGACTGAAAGCATTTTTATTTTCAGTCCTAAAACTTCATTTTCCCTGCATTTCTTTCCATGTTTAAAAAATAATTCAGATCTAAAAGGGAAAATGTTAAAGCAGGCATGAAACCAGATGCATCTGATCAGGAACCAGAAGGACTAACTCTTCTGGTACCAGACATCCAGAAGACTGCTGAGATCGTTTATGCTGCCACCACCAGTTTGCGGCAAGCAAATCAAGGTCAGCACTGTCTCACTCAATGTTACCTAGCTAGTAAATACTGCCTTCCCCCCGCTTTATTGTACTGGTATTCAGGCAAGTTCTTGTACTTGAAAGTTTGTTCTCTGTTAGGTGCTGCTCTTTGTTAGGTTTTAGTTAGAAGTATTTTCTCATTTCAAGATACTCATATCTTCTATAGTTGTTTAACTGTAGTAAATTGAGAGCATGCTTCCTAAATTTCTCTTTTCTTCTCATCAAAAATAATGAAATTGAGAAGTACCATTTTGTTTGGGCTTAGTGCATTGTTTGCTGGTCACAGTGGGGCACACACATGTAATCCTAGCACTTGGGAGGCAGAAGTGGGAGAATCACAAATTCAAGGCCAGCCTCTTCTGTATCATTAAGGAGACATTTTCTCAACTCATCTCAGTTTACAGTGACACTTACTATATTAGCAACAAAAGACAGTGTATCTGTTGCTTCATTTCTGCTGTTTTAAAAAGTTGAGTTTGTTTTTCCTTTTATGAAATAGAAAAGCAAATTTTCTCAAAAATGATTAAACAAGAAGATAGTTGTGAAAATTAGGGAAAAATTTGTAATTCCGAACTTGAGCTTTAAAATTAAAAAAATATTTAATGTCATGCAAAAAGACATGGAAGTAGAAAGGAAGGCGAGTTGAGGGGAGGGAGGGGATTACCAGGTATTCAAGGGAGATGAGGAGGATAGTGGAGATGAGTATGATTGAAATATATTATGTGCATGTATGAAAAGTCATAATGAAAGCCCATTATTATGTAATGTATGCTAATACAACATGTTTAAAATGGATACTTATGTTATTTATCTTGATTTATTAAAAAACAGAAAAGAAATTAGGTGAATACTCAAAGAAGGTGGCTATGAAACCCAAGCCCATGTCAGTATTAAAATCACTTGAAGAAAAATATGTGGCTGTTATGAAGAAATTACAGTTTGGTAAGTTGAAATTTCTCATCTACTGAGATGTTGTCTTCACTTGAAATTAAAGGTTTTTAGGCCTGAGCCAGGTAGGATAGCATGTGCCTATCATCACACTGTACTGGAGGCTGAGGCAGAAGAATTGTGTCACAAATTCTCGTGTGTGTGTGTGTGTGTGTGTGTGTGTGTGTGTGTTTGTTTCCTGAATCTGTGTAGTTACCACAATTTTTTAATATTTTTATTTTATATGTATGAATATATTGCCTGCATGTATATGAGTGCAACTGAATTGTGCAGTGCCTGCAGAGGTCAGAAGAGGCTGTCAGATTCCCTGGAACTGGAGTTATGGACAGTTGTTGGCCACCATGTGGGTACTGGGAATTGAACCTGGGTCTTCTGCAAGAACAGCCAGTGCTTTTAACCACTGAGCCATCTTTATAGTGTTAGTTACAGCATTTCTAAATTACAACTTCAGGAAAAGCACTGCAGGAACCTAGAAAAATAAAAACGTAGGGAAATATCTACAAAGCATGCAGAAGAAATTTCTTTTCTTCCACATTCTCTAGTGCTGGGGTTTGACTCCAGTGTCTCACGCTTGCTGAGGAAGTGCTCTTATAACTGAGCTCTGTTCCTAGCCCTGCTACTTTCAAAGATTACTGATGTATTGTGGTTTTGTGTTGTAACTGTTTCCCATAATAGTTCTCTGCTTTGTTCAATACTTAATTTTTTTCCTTCGTCTTTTAGATACGTTTGAGATGGTTTCTGAAGATGATGATGGGAAATTGGGTTTTCAAGTCAATTACCACTACATGTCTCAGGTGAAAAATGCCAGTGATGCCAACAGTGCTGCCAGAGCCCGCCGGCTTGCACAGGAAGCTGTGACTCTGTCAACTTCCCTGCCTCTGTCTTCATCCTCCAGTGTATTTGTGCGCTGTGATGAGGAACGACTTGACATCATGAAGGTAGAAAAGCAGCTTTGTCCCTCCTCTGTGACGGGCTATGTATATAGTCCTTCATTTTAACAAATTTTGGTGTCCACTTTGGACAATGGTAAAAGTAGTCTTTTTTTAAAAATAAGTATAGTGGCTCATCCTTTTCATTCCAGTACTTGGGAGGCAGATAGAGGCAGAGGCAGATCTTTGAGTTTGAGGCCAGCCTGATCTACATTGTGGAATCCAGGCAAGCCAGGACTATGTAATGAGACCTTTTCTCTCAAACAACAACAACAAAAATAGAATAAGACAAAAAGAGGAGACTTTTATTTTTAATTATGTATATGCATATGTGTAGTGTGAGGCATATGGGCATGTGTGCAGGTGCTTACAGAGGCCTGAGACATACCCTCAGACTGAAGATAACAAGTGCCTGACCTAGGTGCTGAGACCTGATCTTGAGTCATTTTCTTTTTTTTTTTTTTTAACCCTTTTAAAAATTTTTATTTATTTATATTTTTTTGTGTATGCGTATATTGCCTGTGTGTAGGAAAGTGCACCTGTGTCAAGCAATGCCAGTGGAGGTCAGAAGAGGTTGTCGGGTCCCCTGGGACTAGAGTTACGGACAGTTGTTAGCTGCCATGTGGGTGCTGGGATTCGAACCCAGGTCTTCCAGTGTTCTTAACCACTGAGCCATCTCTCCAGCCCCAGGAGTCATTTTCTAATGTTAGTTCATGGTATGGTGGGGTGAGAATGCTGTCCATATAAAACTATAGGAGACACCAGAAGTACTGCCTTTCTTGTGTTTGGCCTCACACTTGCGAAGCATAGTACCAGAGAATCTGTTGCTAATTAGAAGGAAATATTCTCAGGATAAGGTCATCCAAGGTGCTGTTCTCATGGTGTTGCTCATCAAAAAGTAGTCCTTTTTTTCTTTTCTCGCAATCTAGATACTTGCAAATCTATGTTTTATGAGTAAAGTAATGGTAATATACAATAGTAATATGTATAATTCATACTTTGCTCTTTTTCTAAAATAGTTTATTACTTTTATTTTATGTGTATGAGTATTGTCTGCATGTATGTGAACGCACCTGTGTTGTGCAGTGCCCACGGAGGTAAGAAGAGGGCTTCGGATTCCCCTGGGACTGGAGTTAAGGACAGTTTGTAGCTGCCATGTGGGTACTAGGAATTGAACCTGAGTCCTCTGCAAGAGTAGCCAGTGCTCTTAACCACTGAGCCATCTCTCCAGCCCCTGTACTTTGCTCTTTTAACACTGTTATCTTTCTAGCCTTAAATTCTGAGAAGTTAAGAAAAATTAAAGATTTGGTACCAGGTTAAAAGAAATTCTTCATGAGTCATAGGTTAACTATTCTGTCTTCCTTAGACAGCTAAAATTGTTGATCTGTTGACGTCTGTGACGTTTTTGTTTGTTTTTTGGCCGGAGGATAATTTTTCTGTGGAAAGGTTGTGGCCCTTTCCTGTTTAGCCATACCTTGTCCTTTCTACAAGCATTTGAACTGTTTCAAGAAGTAATGCCTAGGAAAACATTTTACCACTAAATAAACCCCACAGCTTCAAACTTGCAAGTGTTCCCCTGTGATACTATGCAGTGCATGAACAATCCTAGCTATATTAGTCACTTTTCTGTTGCTGTGATAAAAACACCATGGCCAAGGGAACTTATAAAAGGAACAGTTTATTTAGCTTACGGATCCAAAGGGTCAAGAGTTCACCATGGTGGGGAGGCATGACAGCAGAGGTGGCTGGAGTAGGAGCAGAAGCTAAGCGCTCACATCTTCAAGCAGGCACAGGAAACAAAGAGTGACTAGAGATTAGGCAAGGCTTAAGAGCTCTCTAAGCTCACCCCTAGCATGACCACACCTTCAGAAACGTCCCTAAACAGCACCACCTAATGGGAACAAAATGTCCAAACCCTTGGAGTCTAAGGGGGATATTCTCATTCAAATCATCACACCAGCCTCAAGCCTGCTAGTGTAAATCACAGTTACAATACTGTGTACACTTCAGGCCACTTTCTTCCACATGGACACAGCTCTTGGCTACAAATGTCTTTGTTTCTTTTTTGTTACTTAATAAGTATCTGCTGATTGAATCAAATGAAATTCATTAAGTAATTTTCACATTGAACTGTTCTCTTCTGCTTTTCTCCGAACCTTTTTGTCATAATATGTTGGAGAACTTTTTAACTGTTAATATACTTATCAATGATTCAGAGAAGATAAATTTCTTTATACCCTGAGTTCAGTTAAAAGTATTTGATATAATGGGGCTGGAGAGACTGGCTTAGTGGTTAAGAGCACTGACTGCTCTTGCAGGGGACCCGGGTTTGATTCCCAGCACCCACATGGCGGCTACGAACTGTCCCTAACTCCAGTTCCAGGGGAACCCAAAGCCCTCTTCTGACCTCCTCAGCATTGCACAACACGAGTACACTCACGTGCATGTAGGCAATACACTCATACACGTAAAATAAAAGTAACAAATAAAAAATATTTTTTAAAGTATTTGATATTAAGGTAGACTTTTTTGATACTTATAAGGCATCTTTTTCTTAGTCCATTTTCACCAAAACCTTATTGCTTTATTTATAATCTAAAGCCATTACCTAGTCCTGTGTTTATTTTAAATTTATAATTTTACTCTTGCCCATGCTGGTAAGTTGTGTAATGGCTGCCAGGAGGCAGCTTAGACTGTTCTAAATGTTGATTATAAGGAAGATTATTATAAGTCTCTATGTTTATGTATAACCAGGTTCTGATAACTGGGCCAGCAGACACCCCCTATGCAAATGGATGCTTTGAATTTGATGTGTATTTTCCTCAAGATTATCCCAGTTCACCACCTCTTGTGAATCTAGAAACAACTGGAGGACATAGTGTGCGGTTCAATCCAAACCTTTATAATGATGGCAAGGTAACGTAGTTGTGGCCATTTGTTTCTAATGCCAGTCTATTGGATTCAGTTTCTTTGTAATTCAAAAAAATCTATGTAGTTAACCTTTTTTCTTCATTCCTGGTGTCCTCTAAATGCACACATTAGCTTGAAAAATAAGCGGGAAGGAACTGAAAAGGGTGGAACTCTAGTTCAAGAACTCTTGTCCTAAGAAGTTACTAACGCTGGGTATAGTGGTGCACATCTTTAATCCCAGTACTTGGGAGGCAGAGGCAGGTTGATCTGAGTAATGAAGGCCAGCCTGGTCTAACTTAGTTCTAGGCCAGCCGGGGTTACATAGTGAAACCCTGTCGTTTTTTTCTTTTTAAGGTTACTGATGTACTAAATCTACACCAACGTAAATATAAATTACTGGGTTTTTTTTTTAGCTGGGTGTGGTGGCGTACACCTGTAGTCCCAGCACTCGGGAGGCAGAGGCAGGTGGATCTCTGTGAGTTCCAGGCCAACTGGGACTATAGGGAGACCCTGTCTCCAAAAAAGAGACCCCCCCCCCAAAAAAAAAAGAAATTACTGTTTGTTTTTTTTTTGTGATGCTAGGGATCAAACCCAGGCCTCATTCATGCTGAGTAAGCACTCTACCACTAAGAAGTATAAATATATCTCTAGTCCCTGTGTGTATTTTTAGGAGAAGCTTTTGTTCTTTTTCTAGAACTAAGGATTGAACTAAGGACCAATACATGCTAAGCACATGCTCTACCTCTGAGCCATGCTCCCAGCGTCCCTGCACATGCTTTTAAAGTTTACACACTGGTAACATTTATCTGTAGATAGGGACAAGAATAGCTGTCATGGGTTGTCACATGAATGCATTAAAGATCAAAGGGATGATATATATGACAGTCCTTTGAAAAGAAAGCTAGCTACAGGGTCTTGATAGCTGTCTCAGAGATAAGAGCATTGGCTACTTTGCAGAGGACCCAGGTTTCTAGTACCCACATGGGTGCATTTTACACACAGGTAGGCAAAACACTCAAAAATAAATAAATATTTTTTTTTAATATGTATGTGTGCAATTAACTAAGGTGTCTTGCATTATTGTTTTCACGCAACAACTGAAAGAACAGTTAGGAAGGTTCCTCTGCTTCAAGGGACACCTACTTTCTTGATTTGTTTATACCATTACAAATTCACAAATCTCAGACTGAGAAGATGACATAACAGTTAAGATCATGTACTGCTCTTACCGAGGACCCAAGTTCGGTTCCCAGCACCCATACTGGGCAGCTCACAGCTAACTGTAACTTCAGCTCCAGGGGAATTCAACACCTCTGGCCTCTGCAGGCACCTGTGCACATATCCACATACACGTGCGTGTGCACACACACACAATTATAAATCTTTTAAAATTCACAACTCTAATTAGTGACTTCTGTTTCAATAGTTCATATGCCAGAAAAACATAATGCATTATACCCCAATTTTATGAACTCTAAGAATAGTTTTCAGTACAGATAAAATAGTCCCATTTTTTTTCTTTCCCAAGGCAAACTGTGTTTGGACCTATGTTTGACAGATGGTTTGAGTTCAGCCTTGTGATCCAAGTATCTAATGTGTTTTAAACTGTATTTTGAGAAACCCTGGAAAGCCTCAAGACCTTAGGGATCTGCAAAGTCTTTATTTCTCTTTCATGTTTATGCAAGACCAGATTTGATCCATATTTGTCTATCTAAATAATATATTGTAATAAATTCAGTGTAGAGACAGATAGAAAATTAAGCTCCTTTATTACCTTTTTTTCTTAATTTAGAAAAAGGGATTGGAAAGATGACTCAGCCATTAGTTCTTGCTCCTTTTGTAGAGAGCCAGCATCACCTTAGGTGGCTCACAGCCTTCTGTAATGAAACCCCAGCCTGACAATCTGGTGCTCTTATGGCTTCCAAGTATACCTTCACACACACAACACATAAATGAAAAATAAAATTTAAAAAGAGATGAACCAGTGGAGTTTCTCAGTAGGTAAAATGGCCCTTGTAACCAAGCCTGACAACCTGAGTTTGATTCCCTGAATGCACACTGTAGAAGGAGAGTTGTCATCTGATCTCCACATGCATGCACACACACACCCCCCAACCCACACACATTCTTTAAATCTCTCAAAAGCTTTTTGGATTTTGGAAAACTATTTTTTATTAAGACATATATTTTTTATGTCTAGGAATGTAATTCAGTTATTAGAGGGCGTGCCTAGCTTGCACAAAGCCCTGGATTAGTCCCCGTACTGTGTAAATCGAACATGGCAGCTCATGCCTGTTATCCTTGCACTGGGAAGTTGGAGGCACGAGGATCAGAAAGTCATTCTCTGCATAGTGAGTTGAGGTCAGCTTGAGCTATAGGCAACCTTTTCTTTAAGAAAAAAAAAAAAGAATAGATGTTATTTGTGTGTTAGGTTATTTGTGTGCCTCTGGGTTTTATTGCTTGTTGTGACAGTGTGGTCTTCAGTGTTCCTTTACATTCTGTTTTTCTTCCCTTCTTCAGGTTTGCCTAAGCATCTTAAATACATGGCATGGAAGACCAGAAGAAAAATGGAATCCTCAGACCTCAAGCTTTTTGCAAGTAAACAAAATTTCTCTGACAGTTTTACTTACATGTACCTCAGGAACTATGTATGTTGGGGACAAAAAGGGTTTAGTGACCAAGAATAAACATAGAAAACCCTCCAAAAAAACTGAAGTAGTAGGAAATATTAAATAACTTATGGGTGAGCACTTAATATAGTTTTCTTATTGGGAGTTTAAAGTCTCAAGTTAGAACATAAGACAAAACTTAGGTTTGGCAAAAACCAAATTGTTTCTAAGATGTTAAAATACAGTGTGTTACAATGTAAATTAATTTAGATGTCTCCTGTCTCCCAGGTTACATTGGGATTTAAGGCCATGTGCGTGGAATTTAATAACACTATTGCTATTACCTATGCCTTCTCATATGATCTCTAGTTTAAACTTTGACTTACCTGAGGCTCAGAATTAATGTCCTGGAGTTCATAAAATTTGAGAGTTATAGATCTTATTTACAGAGCATTTGATATACAAGATTTGGAGTGGGGGGTCATTTTGAGATATGGTCTCCCTGTAGCCCCAGCTGGCCTGCAACTCACTTTGTAGACCATCCACCTGTCTCTACCTCTGGAGCACTGGTATTAAAGGCATGTACCACCACACCCGGCTTAATATACAAGATTTTATAATCTTGAAATTTTTATTTTCTTTTTAAATCAGACTTTTAGCCAAATGTGATTTAATAGCCAAATTCATAGTATGAGTTAATGTTATTATTTGTTTTTTTAGGAAACAGAAACAATGAATAGTTATTGTTGTTACATACTATTTTGAATTCACTTGTACAACTTAGTGTTTAAAAATACCCCCATAGTAAAGTTGATCTAATGCTAGTTTGCATTGGACAAGAAATGTGAAAATTAATGCCATTTTGTAGACTTGGCTTTTTAAAACTAAATGAGCTATGAAATATGAAATAATTGTTTTTATTCTTAAAAAATATTGTTTTTTATTTTATGTATATAAGTACACCCTTGTCGTGTAATGCCCAAAGAGGTCAGAAGAGGACATCAGATCCTCTGGAACTGAACCTGGGTCCTCTGCAAGAGCAGCCAGTGCTCTTAATGGCTGGGCCATCTCTCTAATCCCTTTTGTTTTGAGACAGGGTCTCTAGCTAGCTAGCCCCAGCTGTCCTGGAACTCACTGTCCAGGCTGGCCTTGACCTCACTGAGATCTGGGTGCTGGGACTAAAGGTGTGTGCCACCAAGCTCAGTTTGTTTCTTTTCCCCCTTTTTTTTTTTTTTTTTTTTTTTTCTAAAGATAAGGTCTCACTATTTAGTCCTGTCTGGCTTGGAACTTACAGATCCGCCTGCACCACAACACCCAGCCTGAAGGTTTTTGTTTTTTGGGTGATTTTGGTTTTGGTTTTTTGATTTGTTTTGTTTTGTTTGTGTTTTGGTCTTTTAGAAATACAATCTTCCAGCCCTGAAATAAAAATTTTAAAGTGCTGGGGGCTGGAGAGATGGCTCAGAGGTTAAGAGCACTGACTGCTCTTGCAGAGGACCCGGGTTTGATTCTCAGCACCCACCATGGCATCTACGAACTGCCCTTAACTCCAGTTCCAGGGGAATCCGAAGCCCTCTTCTGACCTCCATGGCATTGCACAACACGGGTGTGCTCACATACATGCAGGCAATACATCATACACGTAAAATAAAAATATATAAAAAATATGTATTTTTTTTAATTTAAAAGTGCTTTACACCCAGGCATAGTGGGGCACACCTTTTAGTCTCAGCATTTAGAAGACAGGGGCAAGTGGATCTCTGAGAGTTCAAGGCCAGGCTGGTCTGCATATATCAATTTCTGTGCCAGCCAGAAGTATATAATGAGACTGTTGTCTCAAACAAGCAAAAACTGCCTTACAAAGTTTTGTATTATTATTATTATAGTACGTGGTTGGTTTTTATGCTCTTCAAGAGTAGGGTCAGTTTTAGCACAGTGTTTAAGTTGGTATGGGCATGGAATGCAGTGGCCTGACCCATTGTAATCCCAGTTTCTTGGAGGCCAAAACAGGATGGCCCCAACCTAGAAGTTTGGAGGTAAGCATTGGCAACATAATGGGACCCTTTCTCAATAAAGGTGTAGGATGTTTAGAAACAATTATTTTTAGCATTTTTAGGAAATAAGATCATTGTGACCAATTTACTTATTCAACAATATGTAACGGGCTGGAGGGTTGACTCAGCAATTAAGAACGCTGGCAGCTCTTCCAGGAGGACCCAGGTTCGATTCCCAGTACCCACATGGTGGCTAACAACCATCTCTGTAACTCCACTTCCAGGTATCTGATGCCCTCTTCTGACCGTGGAAATTGCAGGACATGGGTGTGCTTACATACATGTAGACAGTACACTCATAAGCATAAAATAAACCTAATAAAATATTATTTTAAAAAAGCATATATAAGCCAGGCATGGTGGTTCATGCCTTTAATCCCAGCACTCGGGAGGCAGAGGCAGGTGGATCTCTGTGACATAAGGTACATAAATATTATAAGGTTTTAGTGTATCTAGTTTAATTTTGTGAAGGTTTTTGTATTGTTTATTTTTTATTTGACTTTTTGGTCTCTTTTGAGATAGGGTCTCCCTGTAGCCCCAGCTGACCTGGAACTCCCTATGTAGACCAGGCTGGCCTTGAACTCACAGACATCCACCTGCCTCTGCCTCCCAAGTGCTGGGATTAAAGGCGTGCGCCACCACGCCCGGCTTATTTTACTTTTTTGAGTCACAGTCTCACACTGTTGTCCAGGCTGTCCTGGAACTAAGAGCTGGTATTGAACTTGCCCTGACCTTCCTGCCTCAGCTTTCTGAGTACTAGGATTGCAAGGGTGTGCCTCATGGCTGTTCTTAATTTTGCTTGATCATAAGGTATTTCAGTTTTTCAGTACCAGAAATATGTGGAAATAGGCTAAAAGAGACTCCTTAGAGATGAAGCAAGGTAACAGTTTATTGGCGGTAAAATTATCATTGTAACTACTTTTTATTTTCTTTATTTCTCAGGTTTTGGTGTCTGTCCAGTCCCTTATATTAGTTGCTGAGCCTTATTTTAATGAGCCAGGATATGAACGGTCTAGAGGCACTCCCAGTGGTACACAGAGTTCTCGAGAATATGATGGAAATATCCGACAAGCAACGGTTAAATGGGCAATGCTAGAACAAATCAGAAATCCTTCACCGTGCTTTAAGGAAGTATGTTTGTTGAAATTTATTAAATATTTAAAGACATTAGAGAATAGCCATTAGTATTATATTCAATAGAATACCTGATGTACTAAACTTCGGTTTATAATTAATAATTCATAGCATGGTACAGATAAAGTTTAAAACCACATACATCCTAAAAGAAAGCAGACTTTGAGACCATTTATTTTACTTTCATTTTTGCCTGGTTGTGTACAGGCACACATTGTATATGTGGAGGCCAGAAGGCAAAATAGGGTGTTATGCAGACATCTACATTTTTTTATATAGGAGATCTCTGATTGGCCTTAAACTTACCAGGTGAGCTTCAGGAATTGCCTGTCCACAGGGATTACTTCCCCAGCACTGGGATTATAAATACACTCCAACATGTCTGGTTTTGGTGTGTATTTGTGTGTGTGTGTGTGTGTGTGTGTGTGTGTGTGTGTTGTATGTGTTATGTGAGCTCTGAGGATTGAACTCACATCCTTCTTTTTGAAAGACAAGCACAATTTACTTTTTTATTATTTGGGTTCCCCTGGAACTGGAGTTACGGATAGTTGTCAGCTGACATGTGGGTGCTAGGATCTGAACTCAGGTCCTTTACAGAACAGCCAGTGCTCCTAACCTCTGAGCCATTTCTCCAGCCCAATTTTTTTTTTATGTTATCATTCTATAAGCCAGCTATTCAAACATGTTGCTAAGTGTTCCTCAAAAAATATTATTGAAGTTCAAGTTACCTTCTAAAGCTATCTTAGACATAGAAATTTTGCCCTGTATGGTGGTGCATGCCTTTAATCCCATCACTTGGAAAGCAGAGGCAGGTGGATCTCTATAAGATCGAGGCCAGCCTGGTCTCTATAGCAAGTTCCAGGCCAAGCTGTAGCTACAGGGAGACCTTGTTTCAAAAAGATGGAAAAAAAAAAAAAAATGTTTTCCCTTATACTAATGCATGTATGAATGTTGGGAAAAGACATTTCCTTTTCTTCAGGAAAATGTTAGAGAGTACTAAGTTTTTAAAGCCTGTTTGGGACTACGGAGGTAGCTCAGCAGTTAAGAGCATGCACTGCTCTCACAGAAGACCCAAGTTCAATTCTCAGCACCCATGTCAGGCCAACTGCCTCTGACTCCATTTCAACCCTTCAAAGCCTCTAGGCACCTGCACTCAGCGTGCAAATGCTCATATAAATACATATGCATACACATAATTAAAATTAAATCTTTAAAAAAAAAAAAGAAAAGAAAAACTTGGACATGGCAGCTAACAACCTTCTGTAACTTCAGTTCCAGGGGATCCAACGCCTTCATCTGACCTCCACAGGCATTGCACAGTACAGGTGCATTTAACATATGGAGGCCTTACACTCATACACATAAAAAAATAAAAATAAGTTTTTTTTGTGTGTGTGTGTCTTTTTGAGACACAGTCTCTTTGTAGCCCTAGCTGTCCTGGAACTCACTATGTAGACCAGACTAGCCTTGAACTCACAGAGATCTGCCTGCCTCTGTCTCAAGTGCTGGGATTAAAGGTGTACACCACCACTCCTGGCTTAAAATATTTTTTTTAAAAGCCTGAGTCCTGGACATGTGACACATGCCTTTAGTCCCAGTACTCAGGAGGCAGAGAAAGGGGAACCTCTGAATTCAAGTCTCAAAAAAAACAAAACAAGGGGCTGGAAAGATGGCTCAGCAGTTAAGAGCACCGGCTGCTCTTGTAGAGCACCTGGGTTTGATTCCCAGCACTCTCTTGGCAGCTAACAACTGTCTGTAACTCCAGTTCCAGGGGATCCAACATCCTCTTCTTACCTTTACAGGCTTTGTCCCAAAGTAAAAACCTTTCCTGTGTTCCTGTCAGTCTGTTCCAGTGTGCATGCACATACAATTGACTTTTCACCTATCATATTTCCTCACATGTCCTAAGTGTGTTTGTTTTTCTTAAAATAGTTTCCCTAGATCATCTTTTTTTAGATTTTGCTGGAAATTCATTTTAGAGAAAAGTTACCATATTCATCTGCTAGAATAATAATATTTAATAGGATGAAACAGCTGTTATTCAGAAACACTGTGGAGTTTGTAACTGTAGCTCTCCTGTTCATAAGGTAGAACTGATTTCTGAAAGAATGTAAAGGGACTATTTCTTCCTTTGCTTCGTTGTTTACTGAATGCTTCTATATATCAGTGTCCTGAAAGTGACCACACACACACATACATATGCAAAGGTTTGCCTTTTACCTTGAAAGGCTATGGAAGTAAAGCACACACACATACATACACACACACACACACACACACACACACACACACACACACACACAAACACACACACATACAGACAGAGTTATGGGAAGTACAAACATGCTCGTGCATACCTATCCGTTTGTTAAGCTTAGGTTATTGGGCAAAAATGCATCAAACACTTTTCAAAGATAGAAATCTTCAAAATTTCTAATGTGAGGCACAATTGCTACAAGGAAGTTTAGCTTCATAAAATAAAATTATATCTATAAATTAACCAGAAAATACAATTAGAAGAATAAGAATTGTGCTATAGTTAGGGTTCCATTCTGATTTCTGTTTGAGAGCCTTTGATATTTCAGATAACTTTACTTGAGCTGGCAATATGGTTAGGGAGTAAAGACCCTTGCCACCAATACTGATGGCCTGAGTTCCATCACAGGGACCCAAGGGTAGAGGGGGAGAAGCAGTTCCTCTAATTTCATGTGTGTTGTAACATGTATGTACATATGATGGATGGATGGATGTAAATTTTAGAACAGGGGCCTAAAGAGATGGCTCAGTGGTTAAGATCACTTGCTGATCTTGTAGAAGTCCTGAATTTGGTTACCATCACCCACATGGAGGCTAACAACATTCTATAACTCAAGTTGCAGGGGATCTGACACTATTCTGATCTCTGCAGACACTACATACATGTGGTAGCCTCACATGTGTGCGGACAAAACACTCATACACATAGAATAAAACTAAATCCCTCCAAATTTTCTTTACTTAGCTGGTGTTTTTAAAGTTCTCTTTTAAAGATTATTTTTACATTTTGTGTTAACTGTGTGTATCTATGTGTGGGTATGTGCACGTTGGACAGGTACCCACAGAGGCCAGTAATGGACATCTGATCCCCTGCTTGTGAGTTATCCAACATGGGGGTAGGCAGCTGAATTTAGGTCCTCTCCAAAAGCAATATGCGCTTTTAACTCTTTAGCCATCTCTCCAGTCCCTGGCTTCTCTTTTAAAGACAGGCATTTTTCTGCCACTGCATTGCCAATCCTTTTCTCCTTACTGTTTATTTCCATTTATCTGCTTGAGTGAGTGAGCAGCCCTGGAAATTGTTCCTGCCATAAAAGTGAGTATTTTCAGTGTCTGTCTTCTAATGTTGTGAGCCTGGTCTTTCCTGGTAATGATGCGATGCAAACTGCACTACATCAGATTTCCTGGACAGAGAAACATTGCAGTGTCTAAAATTTCATTTTATATAATGCTATATACCTTGTCTCTTACTGTTTTTCTTTTCAAGGTTATACACAAACATTTTTACTTGAAAAGAATTGAGATCATGGCCCAGTGTGAAGAGTGGATTGCAGACATCCAGCAGTACAGCAGCGACAAGCGGGTGGGCAGGACCATGTCTCACCATGCAGCAGCTCTCAAAGTGAGTTGTGAACTCCCTGGCTGACCTCTTCTCATCCCAAGGATAAGGGAGGAAAGGAACCAAAGAAATTATATCCTAAGTTTTTATGCAAATTTGTATAGAAAAGGTATATTCCTTTTGACAAAGGATTGAAGGTTCTCAATGATTACAGCAACCAAACCCATAGTTTTGTAGATTTCTTCAAAGATGTTGACAACAGAATTGGATCCATGAATAGTCTCTTTTTAATCTTTTAGTCTTTCCCTGTGCTTTACCTTGCACAGGTTTTTTTTGTTTGTATGTTTTTTTGTTTTGTTTTGTTTTGTTTTCGAGACAGGTTCTCCCTGTAGCCCCAGCTGTCTTGGAACTCACTATGTAGACCAGGCTGGCCTTGAACTCACAGAGATCCGCCTGCCTCTGCCTCCTGAGTGCTGGGATTAAAGGTGTGCGCCACCACACCCAGCTACCTTGCACAGTTTTATTTGATTGGTGGTCACAACTGTGATAGAAACCTGTTTTGTGGGAGGCAGGAAGTTGTTTTTTACTTGGGCATTCACAGAATGGAAATGTAAGGTTCAGTAGTTTTGCACAATTTTTTCCGTACGTGGGACTCATTCCTTATAGGAACTACTCATTTTGCTTCTTCCAAATAATCATTTTATTCTTCTCTTGCATCCTCTGCCATTCCCTCTCCCTGAATTCAGTGTTTTCCATTTCTACTGGCTCCTTTCCCCTTTTGAGGGGGTGCTCCTCAGACACAGTCTCTATGTAGCTCTGCTACTGAAATTCACTACGTAAACCAGGTTGACCTCCAGCTCAGAGATCTGCCTGCCTCTGGGATTAAAAGCATGCATCAGCATGCCTGGTTCCTTTCCTTCTATTTTAAAAACTCTTCATTTAAACGAGTAGATGATAGTAAGAATTTGGTTTTCAGGTGTGGTTTTGGGGGTTGTTGTTTGTTTTTTGAGACAGAAATGCTTATGAAGGACAAGTCTTTGATAAGATGTCTGGGATTTGCTTCAAAATAAGAAAATGCATAGATGAAACGAGAGAAACCAGGAATTGGTAGTTGGTAAAGCTATGTGATAGATACATGAGTGTTTATTTTCCTATTCTGCCCATTTTTGTATACAGTTGAGATTTTACATTAGAAAAACATCAGAGCTGTATGTGGTAGTGCATTCTATACACAGCACTCAGCTGACTACATCTGCAAGAGCAACCAGTGTGCTTAACTGCTGAACCATCTCTCCAGCCTCAAAATTCTTGAATCAATAAAATTTGAAAGAAAAAAGAAAACAAAAAAAAGCAAGAATGGTTTGGGGGCTAGAGAGAGATGGTTCAGTGATTAAGAGCAGTGGCTGCTCTTGCAGAGGACCTGGGTTGGGTTTCCAACACCCACATGGCAGCAAGTGACTGTCAACAACTCCAGTTCTAGGGTATCCAGTGCCTCTTCTGGCCTCTGTGGCCATTGCACAACTTAACATACATGCAAGCAAAACACTCATACACATAAAATTTTAAAAAAAGAAAAGAAACATTTGCAAGTATCTTTATTGTACCCATTGTCTTGTTTTGTCAGAGCTTAACAGAGCAGAGCCTCTTTTATGTGTAAAAATATTTTATAAAAAATTGCTTTGGGGGTGCTGGAGAGATGGCTCAGCAGTTAAGAGCACTAATTTTTTAGTGGACCCAGCACCAATTTTGCAGAGGACCCAGGTTCAATTCCCAGCACCAACATGGCAGCTAGGAACTGTCTTTAATTCCAGTTCCAGGGGAATCCGAAGCTCTCTTCTGACCTCCACAGCATTGCACGACACAGGTACACTCACATACATGCAGGCAGTACACCCATACACATAAAATAAAAATATCTTTTTAAAAAAAAATAGCTTTGGGCTGGGCATGGTGACACATGCCTTTAATTGCAGCCCTCTGGAGGCAGAGGCAGGTGGATCTCTGTGAGTTCAAGCCAGCCTGGTCTACATAGTGAGTTCCAGGCCAGTTGGGGCTACAGGGAGACCCTTATCTCAAAAAGATGAAAAAAGCAGGCCAGGCATGGTGGCATACACCTTTAATCCCAGCACTCGGGAGGCAGAGGCAGGCAGATCTCTGTGATTTCAAGGCCAGACTGGTCTACATAGTAAGTTCCAGGACAGCTAGGGCTACAGGGAAACCCTGTCTCAAAAAAATAAACAAACAAACAAAAAAGATGGAAAAAGCACGACACAGGTACACTTACCTACATGCAGGTAATATACGCATACACATTAAAAAAAAATTTTTTTTTAAAGATGAAAAAAAAATGGCTCAGCAGTTAAGAGCACTGGCTGCTCTTGCAGAGGACATGGGTTTGATTCCCAGCACCCACTTGGCAGCTAACAACTGTCTGTAGCTCCAGTTCCAAGGGATCCGAGGCCGCCTTCTGACTTCTGTGGGCATTCCATGACACGGGTACACTTATACACATGTAGGCAATACACTCACTTATATACATAAAATAAAAATAATAAAATACTTTTTAAAAATTGCTTGGTTTACTGGGTGTGGTGGCACACACCTTTAATACCAGAAGCAGAGGCAGGCAGATCTATCTGAGATCAGGTCAGCCTTGTTAACATAGCAAGTTCCACATCAGCTGGGGCCATTATCTTAAAAAAAAATTTTGCTTAGTTGGGCCAGCCAGATAGCTCAGCAATTAAAAGCACTTGCCACCAACCGTGACTTCCTCCCCTAGGACCCATATGTTGGAAGGAGAAAATCAACTCCTACAAATTGTCTTCTTTCATACATGCATGTGTGCCCCTCCCCACCAACATACATCCACTAGTCAGGCAATCAAATCTTTAAAAAATTGAAAAAAATTGCTTGACTGGGGCTAGAGAGATGACTCGGTGGTTAAGAGCACTGGCTGCTCTTGCAGAGGACCTGGGTTTGATTCAAAATCAGCTTATTGATGAAACTAATTTTTAAGGCCTTTGATATGGTATTTATATTCATAAGCAACCAGCCACTCTTAGCAACTCTTCTGTCCTTAGGCAGTGTAGACTAATACAAAGTTATTTGCTCTCTAGCTGTTCTTTTTTGTTTGCTCAAACTTAAAAAGTTCTAGGCTGGGCGTGTGTGGTGGTACATGCCTTTAATCCCAGCACTGGTGAGGCAGAGGCATGTGGCTCTCTGTGAACTCAAGTCCAGCCTAGTCTACATAGTAAGCCAGCTGGGGCTACAGGGAGGCCCTGTCTCAAAAAGACCAAAAAAGAAAAAAGAAAATCCTTCAAACTTAAGTTCTAATGATAAAATTATTTCTAGTGCTTCTTCTGAGGTAAGTGAAGCTATGTGCAGTTTTTTACAGTTTTGTTAGGGCCTAGTAATTGATAAGTACTTGTTTCACTTGCTGAAATTGCAGAGTATATGTGATGTTTTGAAATTTGTAATTGTAGTTTAGGTTTTTGTTTGGTGTGGTGGAATTTTGTGCGTGTGCTTTCCTTTTTCAGTACTAGGATCACACCCAAAGCCTTGCACGTGCCAGACAAGTGCTGTATTGGCTTAAATCCTTAGTCTGGATTCATTTTCATTTAATTTGTGGACTTGTCTTTCTCAAAATACTTAGCCAGAGTTGGCATCACAGCACAATGTATTACTGTCTTTAATATAAAAGGATACACATACAGCCAGGCATGGTGGCATACACATACAAAATTGATGTTTTCAAATCATCAGTAATGCTACTCCTGTGACTATGGTTCAGGCACATGCAGGGTTTGAGGAACTATGCTGTGAGGAAAGGCAGCTTAATCCAATTTGATCTTTAGTTCCTGTAGAGAGTTACTCAGGGCTTCCCAGCATTGTGAATTGGTTTTGTGTGTAAGGATTCTTGCAAGTTTTGTTTAATGCCTGGTTTATTAAGTACTTGACACAGTAGCTGGCACAAGGAGGTACTCTGTAAATGTTTGTACACCTAATGCTTTGGGTTTTGTTGAAACGCAGTTCCTAAATCAGTGATATGCTAGAGCCACAAGGCTCACACTTGTAACACTTGTAATTCTCTCCACATAGCGCCACACTGCTCAGCTACGAGAAGAGCTGCTGAAGCTTCCCTGTCCTGAAGGCTTAGACCCAGACATTGAGGATGCCTCCCAAGTGTGCAGGGCCACAGCAGGTGCTGACGAGACACTACCACATGATCAGGTCAAACCCAGCAGCAGCAAAGACCTCCCCAGTGACTTCCAGTTATGAGCTGCGTCAATGTGGATTTCATAGACACAAAGGCTTCGAAGCACAAGCCAAATATGTCAATATTTGTATGTAAGAAACTAATTATGTAATAGGTTATGAAACTGAAACTATACTATGCCCTTAAGGAGATCCAGTTTAATTCAAGGTGATCTTTTATTTACCTGTACAAGAGTGTAAACTTTTTTGTGCTTTTATTTTTCAATTGTGAGAACCACTGATTGGTATGTTCAACAAATTTGTGTATACAAAGAAATGGATAAATCACTGATCTATAAGGGAAACTACCTTAGGAAAGAATGTTTACTGAATGTTTTATCTTTTTTTTTTTTTTAACTGTAGAATGAGGGGTTGTTAACAAAGGATATATATTGGTCATTCTTACAACTACTATTTAAAGTCAGCAACTTTTCACTGAATTTGATAGATTTTGTGTTTAGCCATCTCTTCATGCTCATATTTGATTTCTAGAGACCTACATACACGTCAATAAAAGTTTAGTGGACATATCCCTTTTTTTGATTTACTGGTACATTTTAAGATAAATCTCCCATAAAATGCATTATAGCTGGAGACTTGCACTTGTATGGATGAATTTATTACATTCAACATATTTAATTTTATGCCTTCTAATTCTAAGATGCAGAAAAAAATAAATGAACATGATTTTATTCTATGCCAACATTTGGGCCTCTGAATGTATCCATTATTTTTATTTAAGTATGCGAAAAGGAATGGTTAATTGGAAAATTCACTTTAAACTGTTTTCCTCAAGGGCTCTTCTTTTTCCTGGACTGTCTGGTTTTGTTGCTGAAGTCACATGTATGTATTGACATGGAGGCTCTGTAGAGGAGAGGGGCTGGGCCTCTCTGGTGCTGTTACAGTACATTCTGTACCTGCCATACAGGCTCATTTTCATGCAAATTCTTCCTAGAGCCAAATAAATAAAAACTTAGGTGAATTAGTATGTCTTGTTTATAAAACAGTTTGCCATGGTGTGAAATGGTATTTCTACAAAGAAATGGATGCTTTTAATACTTAAGCATGGGGGACCAAAGATTTTTTTTTTTTTTAAAGACCAGTAACCATAAAGGAAAAGCTGAGGTGACTGTTAAAACATTTATGTATAAAGTGGAGTGTGGGAATCCTGAACAGAAGTAGGTGTATTCTGAACAAGTGAAGCATATTCCACTCTTAGAAGAAAAATGGAAACCTGGCATGGTGGCTCACACCTTTTATCCCTACACGTGGGAGGCTGAGACACAGGCTTTGCTCAGAGCACTACAGTATGAGAACCTGTGTAAATAACGAGAAAAAACGGAGCTGAGGGACTCGATACTCCATCATATATGAGGCCAAAAGCTCTTTAAACATGGATGATGTGAGATCGCCTCACAAACAGAATGTGGCTGGGAAGGCAGAACTTGTATTAGATTCACTAGGTAGTAAGCAGTATTAGATTGGCTATGTAGTGAACTATACCAAGAATAACAAAACAAGCTGGGTATGGTGGTGCACCTTTAATCCCAGCACTTGGGAGGCAGAGGGCAGGGGGATCTCTGAGATTGAGGTCAGTCTGGTCTATGTAGTAAGTTCCAGACCAACTGTAGCTACAGGGAGACCTTGTCTCAAAGAAAGAATGACAGAACAGTGGTAAAATCAGTTTATAACAGAAAAAACTCAAGTGTCATGTGCACAGTCTACATACAAAACTACCAGTAATAAGAAGTAAAGTGGGGCTGAGTGTGGTGGTATACACTAATCCCAGCAGGTCTTGAGTCTGAGGCCAGCCTGTTCTACATAGTCAGGCCAGCTGTGGCTACATAGTTCCTGTCTCCCTCTCCCCCCAAAAAGGGGGAAGGAGATGGCTCAGTGAGTAGAAAGCACTTTCTGAGCTAGCCTACTGACTTGAGTTCAGATCCCCAGAACCTACATAAATAAAGGGGGTCTGGGGTAGGGTGATTTGACCCAGCTTGTAAAGCTGCTGGCTGCCAAGCCTGTGACCAAAGTTCAATCTCCAGGACCCACACTGTGGAAGGAAAGACTCCTATAGGTTGTCCTCTGACCTCCACATTTGCACCCCCCACCCCCCCACGCGTTCACAAATAAATGAATGGAATTAAAACAAGCTTTAAAAAACAAAGTTGCAGCTAGGCTTGGTGGCGCATGCCTGTAGTCCCAGCACTTGGGAGGCAGAGGCAAGCAGAGCTCTTGTGAGTTCAAGGCCAGCCTGATCTGCATAATGAGTTCCAGGACAGCTGGGGCTACAAGAAGACCCTGCTTCAAAAAGACAAAAAAAGTTGCATGTGGTGGCGTGCATCTGTAATTTTTTGGGTGGGGTTTTTTTTTTTTTTTTTTTGAGACAGGGTCTCCCTGTAGCCCCAACTGTCCTGGAACTCACTATGTAGACCAGGCTGGCCTTGAACTCAGAGATCCACCTACATCTGCCTCCCAAGTGCTGGGACTAAAGGTGTGTGCCAACATGCCCAGTGGTGGCATGCATCTGTGATCCCAGGATTCCTGTGGCAAGATGGGAGGTGGAGAAAATCACCCAGAAGCTTGCTGGCCAGCTAGCCAGGAATACTTGGAGAAGCTGCAGAAACGAGAGACTTTGCTTCAAAACAAGGCAGAAGGTGAGAAGGTAAGAGCTGCCTCCCTCTGACTTCCATGCACTCATGCTTGCATTACACATACATCCCCACACACAAGAAGTTTCCAGAAGGACAGTCATCAGTTCTCCATATTGTATATGTTTTTTTTTTTTTTCTTTGTTCAGGGTCCCATTCTATTTGCGGGGGCGGGGGTGAATGATAGAAGCTACTCATTAGATCTGAGAATTTTATGCAGTGAAAACAATACCATCCAGTTCAATTCATGTTTTATAAAAACGGGCGCGTGGGGGATGGGGCAGCCAGTGAGATGGCTCATTGGGTATAGGTGCTTGGTACCAAGCCTGATGGCCTGAGTTTGATTCCTGGGACCCACATGGTGGAAGGAGAGAACCAGCTCTTCTATACCCACTTCATGGCACTAGCACACAAATTTTTAATTAGGATCAATTTTTTTTTGCGGGGGGGGGTCTTTTTGAGACAGGGTCTCCCTGTAGCCCCAGCTGGCCTGGAGCTCATTATGTAGACCAGGTTAGCCTTGAATTTCAGGATCAAATTTCAATACATTAAAATGGTTCCATGTGGGATCCATCCATATATCACTTTGTATAAGACACAGGTTCACTTGAGTGAAGGAGAGTCATGAAACCTATCAGCGCAATATAGTACAGGAAGTACTCTGGAAAAGTCACTTACAGGGTCCTGTTGGAGCACTGAGGAGCATCACTTAGGTCAGGAAAACACTGAAGTGATGGTGGTCAGGAAAGGCTTATTAAAGGAAGATATCCTGAGTCTTAAAGAATGATCATTTAAAAAAGGGGGGCGGCTGGAGAGATGGCTCAGTGGTTAAGAACACTGGTTGTTCTTGCAGAAGACCCAAGTTCGAATCCCAGCACCCACATGGCAGCTAACTGTCCTAAGTCCACTTCCAGGGGATCTGACAGCCTCTTCTGTCTCAAAGTCTCAGTCCCTACACCAGGCAGAGGCCAGATCCAGGTGCTCTCAGGAGGTCTGTGAAGGTCTCAGCCCCTACCTTACTCTAAGGCAGAGAGCTCTACCCCTGGAGAAGTGGAAAGGGCCTCAATCCCAATTAGGGGGAGTTAAGCACGGTGTGGTTTGGGGAAGTTTACCACCACACAGAGGCCAGATCCAGGCACTCTCAGGTGGTCTGCTAAGGTCTCAGCCAAGACATACTTTTAAGATGGGGTAAGAATGTAGCTAACTGCTGGGTGTGGTGGCTTACGCCTTTGATCCCAGCACTCAGGCAGAAGCAGGCAGATCTCTGTGAGTTCAAGGCCAGCTGTAATGGCTAATCCTGGGTGTCATCAATCTAGGATTAACTGAAATGAGAGAGATCTTCTGAAGCTGGAAGACACACTCTAAATGTGGGCGTTACCTTCTGATGGCAGTCTGTATAAAAGGCCACGGCAGAGGAGAAGGCCTGGCTTCTTGCTGCTTGTCTTCTCTCTCGCTGAGTTCGTCTTGCTGCTGTAGACTGAAGACTAGCTGATCTTTTGGAATTTGTCAGACCTTCAGCGCCAGATTGGGACTACTGAGACATCCAGCCTTGTGGACTGAGCGACTACGGATTCTCAGCCTCTCCAGTGTGGTGCAGCTATTGTTGGACTACTCGGACTCTATCCTGTGAGCTAAGCTGATAAATCTATACATATATATTCATTCTGCTGGTTCTGTTTCTTTGGAGAACCCTGACTAATACAACACTTAAGGCTCACAGAACATAGAACAAGGGATGAAGGGAACACTAATACATCTTTCACCTCTCATCAATGAAGCTCCCTCATGCAACAGAGGGCCAGGAATGCAAAAGGTCACAAATGGCCAAAATGCAGAGAATAAGAGTCTGCAGAGTGTGGGTCCTTGGACAGGACTCCTATATAGTGTGGGTCCTTGGACAGGTCTCCTATATTGAGGTCTACCCACCTAGTATTCAGGAACCATTGCAGAAGAGGGAGCAGAAAGATTGTAAGAGTCAGGGAGGAGGTGCATGACCATAGGAAAATAGTCCTACAGGCACCTGGGATCCTTCTCATATGAACCTACAGCAATGGTGTCAGCATGCACAAGACCCATGCAAACTTAGGCAGACAAAAACCCAGCACAAAACTGGAAATGAACAGCAGGCCCCAATCTTAGTTGAATAATTATTGGCAGCTCGTTACTCCTGAGTGAGGAAGAACTGAACTTCTTAAAGACAAGGACTTACATTACTTATAACATTGCTTACATTAAGAATCAGGTGGTTTTGTTACATCATCAGATTACCACATGAGATGATGCTTATGGACTACTTTCCACAAAATGCTCAGAGGAGGCAAACACACCCACACTGGTAGTGGTCTGCCCATGTTAGGTCATATGGAACTAGAGTGCACTTGTTCAGAAAAAAATTGATTCTGCCACTTACCAGGGCATGTAGTGGATACCTGACCCTCTCAAACTCCAGAATGTGTGATGAACACTTGAGGAACTCACTGACCTGCAGATTTCTGGTTCTAGTGCAGCAAGGGTCTCATTTCTTAGAACTACAGAGGGCTTGGGATCATGAATTTCTGATGTTTTCCTGTAGATACTATGTTGACCAGGCTGGCGTTGATTTCTCAGGGATCTGCCTCTGCATCCTGAATGCTGGGATTAAAGGTGTGCACCATCACACCAGGGATTTCTTACTCTTTTTAAATGTTTTTATTAGTATATGTTAATTACACATAATAGGCTTCATTATGACATTTGCACACATGTATATAATGCATTTTGAGTTTTCCACACCATATTACCTTGTCCCCTTCCCACTCCTGCTGACCCTCTTCCTCAGTTCAAATAGTCCTCTTCCTGCTTTCTTGGTTTTTGTTTGTTTTCTGGCCCAATGAGTTTAATTATGGTTGATTATAGTAATAGAATAAAGGCAGTTTTAAAAAAAAAACAGTTAATTTTTCCAACTAATAGAATAAAGGCAGTGTTTTGTTGTTGCTGCTGTTTTGCCATATTTGCTTTGAATTGTATTCATTTATTTATTTGTTTATTTTTAATATTTT